GGCAAGCTCCGCCCACTGTGGGCGGATCTCAACACACTTTGGGCATGCCCAATACTCGCCAGATATTTACATTCTGCACTGAGCTTTTTGCGGCTTCTGAACACTCGCGAACCGAGTTACTGAGTTTTATGCGAAGCACCGCCCACCTTGAGTACGCCCCGCCCATTTTGGATGTGTCTGCCATAGTTAGTCTGGCGACTCCTTACTAACCTTATTCCCTTGTTTCACCATCTTAGGCTGCTCCGGAAGCGAATTATGAACATTTTTCTGTGAAACCAAAATTTCAGTGAGTGCCCCGCCCACAGTGGGCGGGGCTTCGCATAGGTCAAGTGTGCTTTTTATTCTTGTCCCATGCTCTACCCATCCCCACCTTGACCCGACCTCTCCAAGTCGTTCTTCAGGTCGAACCGAATTTCCGGACAAACAAACTTACAAACAAACTTACAAACTTACAAACAAACTTACAAACAACTTACAAACAAACTTACAAACAAACTTACAAACAAACAGACGAAGCGAATTATATATATGGGTGATGGGTACACATATGCAGCCGTATCTTCGGTAGCGGTGATTGGTAAGATGCCTACGGGAAACTCGTCCGAAATCGATTTACAAGTCACTGAGAACGGAGGCTTTTTCTTCGCAGGATTTTGACCGTTTCACTCCGTTCTTTCGCCATTTCCCCACTATACAGCGCCCTACTAGCATTTTAGGCTAAGTAGGAAACCATCGTGCCAACTGCCTTTAAGGGGGTCTAGGAAAACGCGCCCCAACGCAATCGAAGGGTCGCGTGCGCATTCGCATTTCAAATGGCATGAAGTGCGGGAGCTTTCCTGCCCTCGCGCGGCGAATTCTGGAAACGCAACAGTCTGACAAAGGCTGGAGCACAGCATACTGTGCGGTGTAGATCCACACAGCCATTATCTCTATCAGGAGTTTCCGGAAAGAATTGTTAACTCGCTCAGTTACACGGCAGTGGTAGAAAATAGTGAATACTCGTTATAAATTTTGCAATTTACACCTGCTTTAAGTAGAGTTCTTATGGCTTCCCATGTTAGCTGTTGTAACACATGTATTAGTACACCGGAGTTCATCTAAATTCCTGTCAAGGGAGAGCAATTTTGCTGGGGTTCTGTATTGTGAAGCTACGGAATGTTTAGAGTTTCACTTGTACACAAATTCTTTGGCTGGTGACGTTCAGTGCTGGAAGGTGCTCAGAAGCCAGGGAGAATTTTTAGCTTGACACTGATTTTCTTCCACGTAGGTGTTGCAAGAAAATGCATGTAAAAAGGCGAAAAACAACAAACGTCAGAAGGGGGTCGTATCGATCCACTTTTTAGGGGGGTAGGGTTGTACGGACTCGCACCAAAACCCCCAAACATGTGCCCGGTGGGCGAATTTTTGCCTGCAATATCTGTAGAGGAACTTCAGAAGCACATCATCGTTCGAGATTCCCCAACAGCTGGGATCGTATATGGTTGCTGGGGGAGGGAGGTCGTATTTTCCTCGCGACTTTTCGATTCAGGTGTACAGTATACCCCTCCCCCTCTCGCCCGACAGCTCGATCAGGGGCGTATGCTATACTCCCCCTCGAAGGGAGGGGTTCCACTCCCTACACTTCTTCCGAAGGCTTTGCGGAGAGGCCACGTCCACCTAATTAAGGGGAGAGCTTCCCCAACAACAAGTGTTTTGGGAGACATCCCCGGAGTCACTTTTTTGTTTACTTCGCATTTGTTTTGGACTTTTCTTTCATTCTTCATGTTACAGAAACACACTTAACCACTCTTCCAGTTTTTTTTCATCTCAGGCTTTTTTTTACAGTTTGGAGAGCTATCCTACGGTATTGTCTGACCGCATTTTCACATTTCCAAAAATATTCATTTATTCTTTCTTAGTACTTATTCTAGCTTTTTAGTCAATTTTAACGTTTTCCTGTTATTCCTTGAATTTAATTTTTCATATAACGGTTCTTCTATAGCACAATATGGTTGTGCTGGTGGAAAGGCGGAAACCTGGGGTGATTACCACCATTGCCTCAGCGCTCTGACTTGACTCTACGTTAGAACACAACGCGCCGCACCATCTAATAACTCTTCCGCTCGGGACTCCCGCCGATCGATAATTGCTGACGCCCTCAGTCAGCCGATTTCTGCGGCATCTTCGCTCTACTTCTGCTACATTCAGCTTGTAAAAGCTGAATTTATTCTAGTTTCAACTTTAATTCTCAAAGGTGAGTATGTCTACTGAAATAAGATTACACTTTGCATAAATTAAGCATGAAATTCTCTCAGAAAACTTGTTTCTTCTTCCTTTTCGCATTTTTTTGAACTTCTGAATGTCTTCTTTTAACTTCGATGCTAGACTAAAGTCATGCAAAATGAAATCGAAAAATGAATGTTAAACGGACGCTGACAGAGAGCATTCGAACGAATCGACCATACGCTGGGTGGGCTGTTCATCAGCAACACCCGCGGAACCTATCCTTTTATGATATATTGAATGACAGATCAAGTTTGGAAGATGACTGGGGTTTCTCGGCACGTCTTCTTACCAGTTACTTGTGTTGTCCTGAACTGCGAGCGACGGTAGACGTTGTCGACATGGACTAATCGCTGACCAGTTTGCCATCGCCATTCAATCTTTGGGACGGATGTTATGCAGACGATGACTTGCAGAAAACGCTGGATACATCCAAAACTGTCTCCGGGCTGATGGTTTCGTTCGAGCTCTGAATGAGAAAGCAGGCCGGTTCATACTTTGGCCCAATGAGCGAGAAAACGCTGATCTAAGGCGAGCGTTTTATGGGCCATATCGCCTGCCTGCTGTTGTGGGAGTCATCGATGGCACTCATTGCCATGTTCAAAACCAAGGGAGGCTGAGGAAGATTATGTATGCAGGAAGGGGTTCCACAGACTCAACACTGAAACAATTGTCGATTCTGACATGAAAGTGAGATTGGGACTGTTCGATATGGCCTGGATCGCCCATGACTCGCGAGTGTTCAAAACCTCTGCTACGTGTGAGCAGCTGCAAAGTAGGGCGCTGAAAGGAGTCCTCCTAGGGGACCCGGCCTGCGCGTCGGAGATGTTTCTGCTTAAACCTGTCAATAATCCACCAAATGAGCAAGGTATAGCCTAGAGGGGCGCTATAATAGAGCTGTCTGCTCGCGACGAACAGGCATCGGCGGAGTGCTAAAGCGGCAGTTCCACATGGAGAATGCAGGATAAAAAGATCGAGTTTCGCACACATGCCATTTTCATTTTGAATTGACGGCTTTCGAACCAAGTATACCCATAAGAGGGAACTTATGCAGTGACACATTAGGGCCCGCCCACACTTCCATAGTCAACAATCTGGCCTTTAGCATAAGCTGTTGTTAGGTTTTCGTTCTACCTGATGCCAGATCCATCAAAATGCAATTACCGGTCTTCCCTGACACTCAAATTCAACAACAGTACTAATGTCGCGCAGTATTCCTATTTTCTCTATCGATGTGGTAGAGAGGGAGATACTCCTGGTTGTGGAAATATCGCCCTCATCCGGAACACGATTACTACTTCGCTCGTGTGTTCACGTGATTTGTCTTCTTACCTGCAGAGTCTCACCATCGAGATTTTCTTTACAAGTGCACTAGCTGTGATATCACCGTGCTATCATAGTCAACCTTGCTCTGTTGATACCTTCAAAATGTTTCTTTTTTGTCTTAAAGAACTCACCATCGGTGAAAATCGTTCACTTCCCTGATTGTTCTTGGTGATTTCACCCCCAACTTCACTTCGTAGACCACCCACCGTCATGTTTTTTCATAGTTTGTATTGTGATTGAATATTTTCTCCTGCTTCCTATATGGCAATTGAGATAGTAATTTTCTAAAACATTGTTTCTGCTTCTGCTGCCAATGATATGTATCCGTATCAGTATCAATAAACAATTCATCACAACCAACATAAGAATCTTCAGAAATCACAACAGAACAAGTTATTATAGTTAGAATCACATGAAACATTGCAAATTTCATAATGTGAAGCGAATATCATAAATAAATAATAAGGTGCTTTCAGTACAATAGAAGAAAAGTAGATGGATGAGATTGCGGAAAATTAAAGCGACTATGATACAAAGTGATTTCAACGCGTTGGGCCAATATAAGATTACTAATCGCGCCTCTACCCTAAAGAACACCTAAAGAACAGCTGAATTCCGGAAGATAAACATTTCAACATACTTCTCAACATTTCAAAACTCAACCCTAGGACTAGATCAACACGAGGCACTCGGGTGACGGCAAATGGTCACAAATCTCATTCAGGATACCAATTTTCTTGTGATAAATGGTCAAATGAGTGATGAGGACTTATCCGTACTTATTAAGTACAACAGCAAGGATAAAAACACCAGTCATGCTCGACTCAAAGCACAGTGCACACTGGTCGTATGAACGAAGTTAGCCATTCTGCATTCCCCATGAATGATCAACGCCGCTTTTCTCTCGGAAGGATGGCTGCAGCATGAGGAAAGATAGAATGCCTGGTTGTTCCTGCCTAACTGATCAGCATGAACAGTGCTTATATAGGAATAGTACGAGCTCAGATGTGGACAGGGCACGTCGTGCTTTGATGATTCCTAATGAAGAGGGGGTGTGGCGTTTGGGCGCTAGAGGGAGTAAGTAGTGTTCCCTCCACCCTCCCCGCGAAAAGTGGAGGAACTTCTGGGCGAAAGTTGGAAAAGGAAAACTGAAAACTCAGCAAGATGGTAAGTAGGCTGGGGGATGGGCGAGAGGGACATGTACCAGAGGAAACGATTAGGGTCGGGTTTGCGTTCGTGTGTCAGCGAATTTTTGCCATTAGCAGGACGTGCCCCGGGTGTAGGTGGGGGTGTTTTCTTTCTAAAAGCCACTCATAGCACGCTGGAGTCCGACTGGCTTACCATCTGGATTTGCAGATTTGTGCCAGTAGGCTTATACCAATGATTTCAAAGAGTCGTTCACTTATGATCCTTTAATCTTTGCTCTTGAAACGAAAGCCGGGGAAGCTCCACTTTCCTCGTTTCTTTTCCCTATCTGTGGGCGTCGCCGTTCCATTAGATGCAGGAGATAACGACCTTAACGCAAAATATCATCAAAGCCGTATCGAAAACAATATTCGGAAATCGAACATCCTTGAAAATAGTCAAGCAAAGGCTGGAAATCTTACTCTGCGCTATCGATGCTGTCTTGAGATTGAAATGCTGAGAACTTCCGAGCAGCAACACTACAAGCCGACGGTGACTGGGAATCTACAGAGCTGCTAAGAAGCGTTCCTACACGAGCAGTACTGTCTCGTGAGATCGACGATGACAACTGCGATGAGGGAGATTGAAGAGAGTCAAAAGACCTTAGCTGGCGATCCTTTGAGCGGAACACGGGAGCCAATCGGCTAGCCTGCAAATAGATTAAATAGTCTTTGGATGATTATTTGCTGAGATGACTATTTCCAGTGATTTGGAATATTCCCAAGAGCTGCGCAAGAATGGATCATTAGTTTCACTATGGCAGGCTAGGAGGACAACGAGAGAGGACGCGAAACGTATGAACATGTGAAATTAAAGGCTGTTTGCACGGTAATTTGCTACTCGGTTTAAAAAAACAAGTGAAACGGCCGAAAACCTGCGAAGAAAAGACTTCGCTCTTAATGACCCGAAAAGCAATTTCAGATGAGTTTTCCGTAGGTATCTTGCTAGTACTCGCTATAATCCATGCGTGTCACTGTAGCCGCATTAATATTAACCCTATCGCTCCATATTTTAGTTCGCAAATGTAAGCATACCGCAGCATGAGGTAGGGGTAGTCCATTGTGGAGCGGGCGGCGCGATGGGCGTTCGGGTTGGTATGTTGCAGCTTGATAGAGCCTTATAAGGGTACATTCCTTGGAAAAGGCGCTATGCAGCGTCTGCTCGGTATCGCGGGATTCCGCCCAGCCAGGCGTATTTATCCTACCCGTCTTAGGGATTGTCGAGCCAACTGCCTTTGAGCGGATGCAATACTTATTTCTGCTCCCTTTTTCGTCTTCTCTTTTCCAGCGTTCGAATTCGAAGAGCCAGTTAACGTTCTAATCCAAGGAGGCAGGCAAGAATGGACGCCTCGTGGGCAGCGTCGCTCGCCAAACTCGGCAACACGATAGCGCCGATCCAGAGGGCTGAGTTTGGCGCGGCTAGTTTTCCATCAATTGTGGTCGCTTCGCGGAATGTGGTTGGTAATGGATCGTAGCCGCACCAGATTTAGCCATGTGAACCCCAGCGTGCACAGCGAACAAGACTATACTCCGCAAAAACACAAAGAGCGGCGAAGTCAACGTACGCTGTGATCGTACTTTACTAAATGCACGTGGCTGCAACGTGAAACTAACGGCTCAGGCGCGGAAAAGCGTCAAAAATGACCCCTAACAGGGGAGGTCGTTCAGGTCATGGTGAGCTTTTTGGAAACTGTTTGTTGCATGTTGTAGAGGTCCATATAAGGATCATGAGAATGCGGCTGTCATTTTGCACCTAAATGTTGCTGAGAGTCAAAAAAGAATTGTGAAAAATGCGGACAATGAAGGGCGATTTTGTTCAAAGAACACTTCTTACTCCCAGGGCTATAGCTAGAACGGAGCCGAATAAGGTGCGACAAAATCGGTCTTGTGCGACAAATGCCCTTTCTGTCGATTTTTCACCTCTTTTTTGACTTCCCCAATAACGTTGAGCAAAAATGAACCCCATTTCTATGATCCTTACATGGACCCTTACAACATGCAACAAACCGTTTCCAAAAAGCTCACCATGATCTGAACGACCTCCCTTGTAAGTTGCTTTTATGAACATAATTCCAGTCAGGAATGAATGAGAGCAAATTTCATAACCTGGAGCACGGAATGTGCAGAATGAATTAGTGGGCTTGACTCTTCTATGGAGATCATCTGGACGTCTACAAGCAATGATGACAATTCAAGTTCCTCACTGAACTGATTCAGAAGAGGAACCGAACGGAAGCCTGAAAATTTCGCAGTTAATTGTAAGCACTAGGTAGGTAAGAAAGACCTGTCAATGTTCGTTTGTTCTCTATGTTCCCCTGTATAATGAAGCAGAAGTTTTGAAATTCAGCATGTGATGGAAACCATTAAACATCGGTGTGGACAGTCAGTGATGTTCCAGTAATAGGGATGCTGGGAGTCGAAGAAGAATGTAACCTCTCGCCTAATGCGTATGCTATGGTGCATGAAGTTTCCTTCGCCAAGAAATTCGAAGGGGCAGAGATGTTGACAATCACGCGTCGGGCGAAATTGGGGAGTATAAGGTTTTGTGTTCCGGCCTAGTTTTCCGCTATTTCTGTAGGTCTTTTCATCAATCGAGATCTGGCGTTATCATGGACAAGGTGCACCAGACACTCCTTTCGCTTTTCTCAGAATAGCTTTGAAAGTTCCTGATTCAGAGGTGCAAATGACAAAGTTGACCGTGGCGTTCTTGCAGGGAGCTAATATGCAAGGTAAAAGGCGATCCCCTGATAGAAACCGAGCCGTAGCGCCATAGTGGAACGCCTAACTAGAGAAAGGCTGTTCGTTTTTCCTTTGGCAGCTTGGCTTATTCTCCACTGACTTTACGCGGCACACATAATGGCGATTTGAGAGGACGGACTTTCTAGTCTACAGCTAATCAAGACTTCCAAAAATCCCTTTGCGGGCGCACAAAGCAGATGGATATCGGGTGACGCGAGCCATCCGTAATGAGTATGAATAGGAACCCATTACTCTCAGCCGCTACTTCTATAGCCGAAGGAGGGAACGTCCTGCCAACTGAGGAAGTTTTTGCCGATACAACCCTTTACCTCGGAATTTCCTCCCGTGGTACAACCCCCTCCCCTTACCACATCATGTCCTTCCTATGTACTATCGTTCCAAATTCTCCAATTTCCTGCTACCATTTCTCCATAGTTTATCCCCGAAATTCTCCCACTGGCCCCATAAATAGCACAGAACAAGTAAAGAAGTTAGTCATAAAAACGGACCCGTAGGAACCCTCCCACTAACCCGTTCCAGACACAACCGAATGCTTACCGCAACGTATGCAATCCAGCGGGAAGACGGCTTGCCCAATGAAGGGATCAGTTTTTGGTCCAACGAAGTCGCCATCTTCCACTTGAAACCTCAGCAAAGCCATTTCGGGACAATGTACTTCGAATACGAATGTCTGATTCCAAATCGGATTCAAACCGTTCGATGCTAAAAAAAAATTATGGGAGGACAATTCAAACGAATTGCTGGAAGGGCACAGACTCACCGATGGTTCTCGTCTTGTAGGATCTCTCATCGCAAGGAAGTCCAACTAGTTCAACCTCGACAAACGGCGAACATATCCCTTTGTGCTTGTCACGACGTGAAAGATGACGTCCAGCAATCACTTGGACAGTTAAACGAATCGGAGTCGAGGTAGATACCTACAGTTCCGTTCTTAGAACCTCCCCTATCCATAAGATTCGACTTGCCAACTCACTGCTTCGCCATGGAGCGGATCAAAGCTTTCGTCAAGCATGTACTCCGGTTTCAGCACATATCCACATCTCCCGTTGGCCATGAATTTCCCTTGATTCAACTGCATTGCTTTGTCACCCGTTTGGTAATTCAATGCGACCTAGAACAACTAAATTTCGCCCAAATCTTCCTCCAGCAATGAAAAAAGGAACGGACCATATGGCAACTAGCGTTCCACATTGGTAGAGGGTTGTAGTTCGCTGAAGTGATTCGGGAGCCATGGGGATAAACTCGTGACAATTGACGAATATTGAATGTGACCAGACCCTGAAACAAGATCGTTTAATTCAAGGAAAGGAATAAAAATATTGTTTGACTTTTTGGTCTAATTTGTCCGTCATTCACTAGAAACTCTATTACACGCGAACATATCCTCACTCATCCAGTAGATGCTAACTCCCCACAAAACACCCCAAATCCATTCCAAATTGTATGTTTTTCAAATCATCATTTAAACTGGGAGGCCGAGGTGGCGAAGTAGCAAGCTGCTCCGCTTACCAAGCCGCTTGTCCGCGCGAGTAAATCCCCGAACGCACCGCTTGTACTTTCTCCTCCCGGGTGAGGGTAAATTGGCATTCCTGATCCATCTGGCATGGGATAATGAACACTGGCCTTGTATGTCGGCTAGGCCTCGGACAAATCTTTGCATGGCGGCCTTTCTTATTCGATAAGCCAGTACGAGTGCGAATGGAAGTGGAAGGCGTGCCACATCCCCAATAGCGATTGATCAACTACTAAAGCATTATCGACCTTTCCAAACTGAAATGGAAGCCAACTTCTTAGAAGCCAGTTGGCGCATAAATGTGGCTGGCGGTGGAAAACGGAATGCACGACATGCCGCTAGTCTTAAGTAGCCTGAAATCCATTCACCCGAAGGTGCTAGGCAGTCCCAACCGCAGATTTCGTTACGTGTCTAAGGCAGCGTTCAGACTTCGCGACGGCAGCGCTTCGGTCGCGCGTTCGACGCGATCAATGCAGTCGAAAGCATGCGCATCGATCGCGTCGAACGCGCGACCGAAGCGCTGCCGTCGCGAAGTCTGAACGCTGCCTAACGAGGATCGTTTCTCCTTCCCTCAACAAGATTGCGAACGTTCTCTCAAAGGTGACGACATGACGGGTGGTTTCTGAGCAGGTTGGTGGTACAGCGGAATTGGAGGCAATGCACGATAGTTTGTACTTGATCAAAAATAGTAGCAGGGTTGCTATGCAATGGGAAAATGACGAAAAAACGAAATTGAACGGCCAAGAACCTTTGTTCTGCGCGGAATTGGACGAGCATTTTTGGACGAGTCCCCCAATGGCAGCGTGTCAACCACCGCTTCGATAGGTACGGCTGCACGTGGGTATTCATTATCCAGGTAGGAACACTTCATATTGATTGTACTTCATAAATGGAGCGATAAGGGTACCAGCATTCATGTGACTGAGGGCGCGGGCGGTTGCGATGAGCGTCTGGGTCGGCATGTTAAACCTGATTAGGCGCTATATTGGCCTTGGTTGGTAGAGGTACAAGGGACACAATATTCTTTTGTGCTAGGCGTATCGACCCTGAACGCCTTGTCGATTATCGAGCCTCTTGTTTTTGGGGAGGGTCCCTCCTCGGAGATTCGGCTACGACTTTTTCTCCACTGGTAGTCTCAATCCGTTGGCGCGATTAATACAGTAATTGGTGCGTGAACTCCACGCCGCCCCGCTATGAGGCCCCTGTCGTGACTTTCGTACGACTCTTTTTAAAGGGTCGCGTTTATGGTTGGGCGCGGCGGTCCTGGCGCGCTTGGCGGAACGGTCGAATGTTCGCGAAGCCGCTAGGGATGCAGAGTCGGCGTCGACTCTGGCCTGTCTGTCACTTCTACGTCCTGCAGCCGTCTCGACTGGTCGCTCCGCTCCGCTCTACTCCCAGTGTCAACGTCATCGTCTATCTATGCTGGTCGCAGTCTAACATCAACGAGCAGTACCACGCAATGGAGCCGCACTACTACAGGCCGCCGACTATCCCAGGTAACCACTAGGTGCTTAGGTGCATCCGAACCTTCCGGGCAGCCGGAGGGGAGGATGTTCCCGATGCCCTAGTGGGCTGTTTCCTCGTGGCCCGTAGGCAGTGAGGCAGGGTTCGTCCGTGTAGCGTAGGGCCTTACCATTAATCTTTGTAGTAGTTTATTTCCTTGTTATTCTTCTGTAGTTGTTATATTAGAGAGGTAAATCAATTTAATAGTTTGTGTATTGTTGTGTAGCAATAGTGGTTAAACCACAATATTCCTCGAACATTTATTTATCACGGTTTCTTCACAGTCTTAGCATAGTTGTTAATATGCCGGTTGTTGGTTCTAGCCGTATACTAGAGGCGTCATAGTCTGCAGCTATGTGAGCAGGTATCCTTAGGCAGGGCGCGTGGATAGGGCGTAGGTAGGAGGGTTATTAGTAGGTACATGACCGTAGTGTGCACACAACGTAGGGGCAGTAAGGGCCTACAGGTTGCGCTTAGCACCATAGCACCCGCGTGGCAACACCGTGGCGAGCATAGGCAAGCGCTCGTAAGTCCCCTGCAACCCTCGCGCCGAGGGCGGATC